AAAACAGAATTAAAAATTTTATTTTGAAAAAATAATTTATTAATATTTATCTGATGTATCAAAATTTTCACAATGGATCATATTAAATATTAATATTAAATATTAGTGATATATTGTTTGATATTTTTATATTTTCTTGATTTTTCTTTTTTTTATTTTATTTCAAATTATTATTTTTAAAGTTTTAATATATATATTTTTCTTTTATATTCATAAATTTATTTATCTTATATATTTTCAAATCTGAATTTCTTTTGTATATTAATGATACTTTCTTTTATATATTAATTTTTATTTAAAATATAAAGTAATATTATTTTCTAGATAAATTATTTATATATTATTATCATTTTATAGGATATAATATAGTAAATCTAATAATTGAAATAATTACTATACAATTTATATATAAAATAATATTTTAAATGTATTTAATATTTTTATATTATTAATTTTAATTATTATAGAAATCATTAATTAATAAATTAAGTCTTTTCTTTTTTGATTTTTTGAAATCAAAAATGGGGACAATTCACGTGATTTGCATTTTTTAATGTCCTGCACTGAACTCAGATTAAAATTAGCAAATTCGATTTATTAAGACCAATCGCTATTTCTATTACACATGTACATGTATTAAATATTTCAATCATTATTCATTTGGGTCGGTCACCTGAGTCATTTTATCATGGTTCAAATAATGGCAATAAGATAAATATTAGGTCGACTTCAGAATGTAGTAGCGTTGTTGATGAATTGGTGGTAATAACCATAGATTCAACAAATTGGACCTCCTCTAATATTAAATCATAGAATATAGCTCAAAATAAAAAAAACTTGTAAACGGAGAAATAAAATCATTGATCCTCTTTTGACAATATTCATCCGCCTTTACAGTATACGTACAGTAATTGTAAGGATCTATATAATGCAGTTTTGGGTTTGGTTAATATCACGATTCATAAAGACATCAGTATCGAGGTATATCAAAATACGTTTAGAAGTATTTCCCGAAATTCTTCTATGATCCTTAACTTGCATTTCCTATAAAATTTATCTAATATTTCTACAGCAGAATATTTTATTTTCAATATCTGAGAAAATAATTCATCGCATACAGATAAAAATTCGTAAGAAACTTTGAAATTTAAAAACTCTGGCGTTGAAAAACACAATGTAACGTCTGATGATGAGATTTATTAATTTTATGACAAGTTCCAACCGTGGTAGTATTTAGAAAATGTTTATACATTACCCAATTACGCATATATCGATATTATTTATCGTAATTCTAAAAAATAAATTAATCTAGTACTTTCAATGGAAGTTTCTTGATATCTTTAATACAACATGGTGAAACAAAAAAAAAATAGCATAAAAACACAATTCTAAGAACCTCTTTTACATAAGTCCACCTAAACAAAATAATTTCAAATATTCCAATTCGTTGAAATTCCATTTTGACTTTTCTTTGATTCTCTTCCAAAGCAGCCGAAAAGCCTTATGCAAATCCTTCTCAATTCCACTTCCATATCGATAGCTCGCAATAACTTGCCTCTGTGCATCTCTAAAACCACCAATCGCTGCTTCTTCATACATCAAAAACATTTTCCGTTCATTCTGCTCATGATAGGCTAAATGACAAAGCGCTTGCGGATGATTTCCAGTTTCCACAGATTTCTTGTAGTATTCTAAAGCTTTTTTCGCATCTCGCCTGACTGGATTCCCGGAGGCATTGTCGTAATACCAGCCAACTTGTATCATTGAAAAAGAATCGCCTTTGTCTGCAGCTGATTGGTAATACTGGAATGCGAGTTCTTCGTTTTGTGTCGTCCCAATCCCGTATTGATAAAAAAATCCAAGCAGAGTGGCATAGCGTGGAATTGATGAACTTTTGGACAATATAGAGAATGCGTGACTTGATTGTATTCCCGAATCTGTAAAATAATTTTCAAAAATTTGCACAATTTTTGGGTCGTATTCAATGCGACCTGTGTCGATTAATAATTTCGAAAGATACGTAATCAATTCTATGTCGGAAGAAGTGATTATTTTGGTTAACATCTCCTCGGTCGTTGCGACGTAATCATTTTGAGTGTTATTATACGTAATCAATTCTATGTCGGAAGAAGTGATTATTTTGGTTAACATCTCCTCAGTCGTTGCGACGTAATCATTTTGAGTGTTATTATCTGATGATGTCGACATTATGAAACGTAACGGTAGAAATAAAATGTAACCGGGAAAAATAATGAAAGATAAACGTATTTCATGTATGTGTAACTTTTATTTATCAAATTGAGATACTAAAAAGGAAATAAATTTGTCGATAGCCCCCGATTATCACGATTTTCTATTCTTTTATTCGATTTAGCTTTTTTGCTTGCTGATGATTTTGCTTCCGCAGCAATTGTAAGTTGCTTTGCTTTAGCGGGAAATTTTACCATTCTTGGTGATGGTGAAGGACAAGGTTCATTCTCAATAACTTTTACTTTTCGGGTTCTGGAAAGTAACTATGCTACTAATTTGTTTTCAAAAATCGGTTTGCTAGCATTTTCTTCTGGACAGTTTCAATTAAAAATCACTTCGGTTTCTTTGTCTCACATACAGGACAATAGCATGGAGGTGGTGGATAATAATAAAACTGAGGTTACGATTGTGATGACAAACAGATATAATACATTGATAGTGGTGGTATATGATTTATTGTTATTAACATTTTCTATTAACGTTGTTTTTCTATGTAAATTTATAATGAAAGCAATTTCTTAACAAAATGATTTATGCGGTTATTCAAAATGCCATGAAATTTTGAAATTACATGTATATACGAATTACTATACAACGCAGCGTTTTCTAATTTTGTTAATTAGCGCATGCTACCATCTACTGAATTTTGCGGACTAAATACATATGTTTCATGCAAAGTGACGATGATTTTTTGTGAACTTTTTAAAAGCCCGTTTATAGCGTGACTTTAATGAAAAATTCTACGTACGTATAATTCAACTATTTCTGTAATTTTTAGTTATAGATACTATCATCACAGTATGACTAAGGTTCATCGTTATAATAAATATGACAAATGTCGAATCACCGTTGGAACCCAAATATGGAATATAACGAATTAAAAAAGAATGCGTTGTGTTTTCATCAAGCTATAGATAAGAGAAAATATGATTCTACAATTTAAAAATAGGTTATTAATTTATATTTATGAAATTAGTTGTAAACCAAATATATTTTAAAATGAGTATCCTTGTTTGATTATAATAGTAATAACTGAAAAGTTTAAAAATAATTATAAAAAAAATGTGATTTTTTTCTTTTTAAATAATTACTTTAATAAATATCAATTTTTATCTAAAATAATTATCCACTGACATGCATTAAAAGCAGTAAAACAATAATAAAATATGGTGCGTTCTTTATATTTTTTCTGATTTTTTCTAAAGAATTATGCTAATAGTAAATTTATTATAAAAGTTTACTAATTAATTTTGTATTTTAATTAAAAAAAATCTATAATAACTTTAAAATAAGCATGATTCTTTTAAAAATTCAGAAAAAATATATGTAAATTTATAGATTATTATATATTTCTTTATTTATACAGTATAATGCCTCCAGGTAAGATATTCTAATCACGTGAATGCATATCATTTTCTTTTTATAGCATTGTGCATCGGTATTTCATAAATTTATTTTAACGTTAATATATAAAACATTTAATAGAAAATATTTGATATAAAAGTTTAAAATTCTCAATTCCCTACATTCTGAAATTCTAATGATATCATGTGATCAATATTAACATAAGATTTTTGTAAACTTGGATTAAAAGACTCTTTTTTAGAAATTATATAATCGAAATGTAATTTTTATTTTTTTCTTACTGAATCCGCGTCAATGAAATAAATTTTGTGATTTTGAGTCTGACCAATATCTCGTCGCTATGTCGACAGTAGAGGACATTTTCGTGGTCTTTTCAATCTCAGGAGCGATTATAAACGTAGAGATACGTGAGATCGAATACTTTAAATGGAAAGAATTGTCAACTTTGACTTTTTATTTTCCATGGAAACCTAACCATTCGGTACAGTTTCAATTTTCTAGAGCTAGTAAAAAAATATGGTTAAAACAATTGTGATTTCCCTGCATAACAAATTTTCCCACATCATAAATAATGATTATCTATTTCTTTTAATCTAATCAAGTGCTGTATACCATCAATATTTCGCACCGGGAAAATGATCATTTTTAGCCAAGGTCAAGTAATTATAAAAATTTATATTAATTTTAATGGTGCTAAATTTAGAAATCACTAAAAAATGTGGGTGGCGCTTAATATTATGGTTTACGGTAATTAGGTAATTAGCGTGTGAAATCATAGAATTCGAAAGATGTTAAACAGTTTTGGCTAGTTATCTGGAATATTTTGCTTTTGTATTTCCGTTTATTATTTTAGCAATAGTGTTTAATTCAAAAGCTTTTTACAGTTATAAACATCTTGTGTGAATAAACTAAAAAAAAGTAAAGATCTAACTTCAAGAATTCCCAGTGATATAATATTTGCAAAAGATGTTCTTTCTAAAAATAGACGGAGTTACATTTGAGGAGACCTTATATGGGATCTCTATCGTATGATATTGCAAATAAATTATGGACACCACTCAAAACAGTATATAATGATCATTCTTGTTTTCCTACAAAAAACTTTGGTTTTTTTATTTTCGACAAAAAACACTAAATTAATTTTCAATTCCTGACTTTTGAAATTTAATTTTAACATGACAAAATCACGATCTTTACAGTCCTCGCTTACGCCATTCTCATTTCTGTTGCTTTGACCACTGCCAATCCTATTAAACGAGGTAGCGGTAATGGAAACGGTAATGGCAACGGAAACGAAGGTAGCCTCAATGGAAACGGCAATGGAAATCTCAACGCGGGTAATGCTAATGGAAACTTGAATGGCAACGGAAACAAAGGTAGCCTCAATGGAAACGGCAATGGAAATCTCAACGCGGGTAGTGCTAATGGAAACTTGAATGGCAACGGAAACAAAGGCAGCCTCAATGGAAACGGCAATGGTAACGGAAACGAGGGTATTGCTAATGCAAACTTGAATGGCAACGGAAACAAAGGTAGCCTCAATGAAAACGGCAATGGTGACGGAAACGAGGGTGAGGTGTTAATCGTTGAATAATAGGTTGTAGCTGTATATAAGAAAATCAAAAAACAATATTTTTCATTAATTAATTAATTAGGTTAATTTTAGTAATGTCTATAAAAGATACAACATGTATTAGTCTTGATAATTCAATTTGTTTAAAATCAATGCTTTTTTTTCAAGATCCCGAAATAATTATACAAGAACAAAACCATGTGTAATACGTATGTGCCAAAGCGATATCAAGAAAAGTTTGAAAATTATCACCAAATTTATTAATCAAAGTCTTACGATGCATTCTCAAATCTAACAGTTGAGCTCAAATTATATAATCAAATTTGCAAATAAATTTTAATAAATATTACTAAAAAAAGATATAAATACATTTAATTTATATTTTAAAAATATTTAATTAAGAGCTTAAACTAGATTTTTATAATAAAATTATATAATATTAAGAATATTAATATTAGTTATAGTTTATATATATTTTTCCTGAAAGAGTTATTCTAATTATAAAGTTAATATAAAAATTTTTTTAATTAAATTTTATTTTACTAATTTTTATTAAAAAAATCTGAAAAAATTTATATTAAACTATAACTAATAATTTTTATTTTGATATAAAAATAAAAATAATTTTTAATAAAATTAATAAAATTTTATAAAAGAAAAAATTTTAGTTTTTACTATATTTTATTAGTAAATTAAGCTTTTAATATATTATTTTTAATTATTATTATACAGTCAGCATGGAAAGTAATGC